GATCTCTGGAGACACTGCTTGGCGTCTATCTACAGCTGCCCCCACCCATTCCACGGGCCTTGCCCATCACAAGTTTCTCTTGTGCTGAGTGGAAGGACCTCTTAGATGTCCTCAACACAGAGCTCCAGGCAGCCATAGCCACACAAAGGTTTGGTTTACGGGACCAAACTGAGGACCCACCATCTCCCTTTGGCCCTGCTCTGTGGGGGCCGCAAGGTGACCTTGCTGTGCTGTTTGGGTCATGGAGCCCTACCCTGCCTCTTCTGCCTGTTGACCCTGTGCTCTACCTGCCTCTTCCCTGGACCCTGCTCTTCCTGGTCTTGTCTGGACTTAGCCTATCACCTTTAGGGTGGTTCTCATGGATGGACCCTCCCTCTGATGGACCCCCCCAGCCCTGTATGCCCTTCTAAGGCCCCAGATGGAATTCCGGAGAAGTGCAGTTTGACTCACAGAAAGTTCACTTTCAACATTGCTCATGGTAGCATGTTGTTTAACTGACAATGACCATTTAGGCTGAAATCAGTCATCTGTGTGCTCCACCCCAAGCTGGGAGTCCTCTGGGGTGTGGTGTGGCATGGGGCATGTGGGAATGGCATGCTGCAGCCTCAGAGGGGTGAGGCTGAGCCATGGCTTGGGCTCTGATTCATTCTGGACACTTGTTGGAATTCTGGACTGGATATAGTTGAATAGATTTTATGTATAGCTTCTGCACCCCTTTTTTTTCTCTCTCACCTTCTGACTTTGGTTTCATAGGTAAGTGGGAAAAAGTATTTGTAATCAGATCAGTTTGGTGTTCACAAATCCATCTGACCTGTGACCAGGCTCATAGCCTTGCCTCCTAGCTGGCAGATCCCTTGTGTGCACGGGCACAGGCTGAAATAATACCCAGATGGTGAAACAGAAAATGAGGGAGGACCTGGATGATAATTTTAGCATAGCAAAACTTGAATTGATGAACAACTTTCTTACACTGTAACACACACAAACTTCACACACGAGCACACATGCACATGGCACTAACCTACTGAGTCTCATTATGGACACACACACACACACACACACACGACCCAAGCACTACTGGGTCTCGTTATGTACACACAAATAGCCCTAACCCTACTGGGTCTCATTATGGATATGTGCACATGACCTTCACCCTACTGGGTCTCATTATGGATAAATGCAGGTGACCCTAACCCTCCTGGGTCTCATTATGGATATGTGCATACGGCCTTAACCCTACTGGGTCTCAGTATGGATACATGCACATGACCTTCACCCTACTGAGTCTCATTATGGATAAGTACACATGACCTTAACCCTATTGGATCTCAGTATGGATACATGCACACTACCCTAACCCTACTGGGTTTCATTATGGATACATGCACACGGCCCTAACCCTACTGGGTCTCATTATAGATACGTGCACACAGCCCTGACCCTACTGGGTCTCATTATTTTGTGATTATTTTCCAATGGTTATTTTCCCTTTTGCTTCTCTGTTCTAGGTATGAGATAGAAGTGGCTTTTGGAAAGACCCCAGTAGCAGCCCCAGGGTGGTGTTCATGCTGGATCCGGCTATGCAGGGCCCAGAGAGATGTGGGGAGGAGCTGGGGCTACCTGTTGCCTCATGCCCACCTCTGTCTTTAGCCCTCCAGGGAACACAAAGGATGGACAGCCCATTTCCCCCCTATATTCCTGAGAATACTTTTCTGTATAAAAGTTGCCCTATACTAGTGGATCTCAACCTTCCTAATGCTGTGACCCTTTAATACAGTTCCTGTGGGTTGCAACCCATAGGTTGAGAACTGCTGCCCTACACCATTGTGACATCTCCTGCACAGACAGTGCTCTCAGAGCAAGGTGGCTAAGGACAGTGCTGTTCTGCTAAGCAGCGACTCCTGCCCTCACTAACTTCTGCGGTTCCTGAAAGCAGAAGAGCTAATTTGTAAAACAGTAGGTGCCACTGGTATTCAGGTGGCCACTTGGAGGCCCAGCCATAGCCCAGTGATGTTGGCAGGTCACACTGAGCTCAAATATATGTCAGAATTAAAGGAAAAACTTTTCATGTAGAGAAGGCACTTGCAGTCCCTCATAGTTAAAGACTTGAAAGAAGGTGTGTGTGGCGTCCTGCATGGCTACACTTGGGATGAAAGGCACTAATAGTGCATGTGCTGGGGGCAGCAAGCCGCCAACCTGGAGAGCAGACACCTGCCAGGGTTAAATGTGCAGACCTCTGGCCATCCCTTTCAGGAATTTGCTGTGTAGGAATGTGTGGGGAAACTTGTAAACCTGTGTGAAAGCAAGTCAAACGCCCATCACCAGGGCATGGATCAAAGGCACTACGTTATGTCCCTTCTGGGGAATATTATGCAGCTGTAAAAGCAATGAAGATCCAGGAAAGATGGCCACGATCTGTCTTGATAGTAAACAGCAGCTTGCAGGACCACTGTACAATGTGACTCAACTTCCAGGAATAAACAAAAGAAAGGCAGTGGGAGGGACAGGTCTGTGTAGACAGAGGGAATGAGACATCAGTCATGCAGTGGTCACCCAAAGGCACAGGACGGAGTTAGAGGTGTGCATCCTAGGTAACACTGGTCTATAACCTTGGAGGTTTTATAACTTTCCCGTATACTTTCTGTAATCATAAAGCCTTAAAACACAACCAACTAAAAAGTTGCCATCTTTGTGACAAAGAAACGTGTCCATCCTCATCAGTGAAGATGTTCAGATGGCCCTCACCCCACACACTGCAGTCCCCACAGTCACTCCCCGTATTGAGGCTCCTGCAGTCAGGTGGGAGGGTACCTTCCACTTGCTGTGCTCTCTGGAAATGCACCAAAGACTGGCCCATCTGGCTCATTTCCAAGCTCAGACTCTTGAGAATTTTATTTTTAGCGGAGTGCTCATTCCTCTTGACAATGCAGGCCAGAGCATGAAGTTTATTAGAAATAGATTCCATCTGCCTACAGGACTTGTTTAATACTTGGCACACATGGATACACACATGTGCATACACATGTGCACAAGGCCTCCTGGGAACACACATGCTCATGTGCACACACCCATACACATGTGCACATCTGTGCTCAGCCCTGCTACAGCTGACAGCATTTAGGCTCTGTGTAGCTGAGGGAGGCTTGCTGGAGGCAGCAGGGCAGAGGACGTCTGGTGTGCAGGGGCCTTGGGCAGGGCAAACCGATGCTCCCTTGGCCATGTGCTGCCAGGTGTCTGTGGTGGGCTCTAGGGCATGGTGGCTGTTTCCAGTCCTCTAAGGGGACCTCAGACCAGCTGAGACCTGGGCGGCCACACCCTCTACACTCTAGGACTCAGGACCAGTCAGACCAAATCCTTAGTCATGGTACAGATGTGAAATCAGGTTTTACTAAAGTATTTACACAGCTCATTCCCCTCAGTGGTGGGATCCACCACACCCCACACATGCTCGCCACATTTAAAAGTGCCTGCTAATTGTTGGCTCTGCTCACCAGCCAACTCAATGAGCAAATATTCAGAGCCACTTTGCCAGGCAAGAGAAGCTCCGCTCTGCTGACAATTGACTCGGGCACAGTGGAGCCTCGGAACATCTGCTGGCTGCTTAGTGCCTGCCACAACCACATGTGCTCAGCATCCCCAAAGTCTCGGCTCATTGTCCATGGCTGGCCCTCAACCCTTTCAGTCACAGCAAAGCCTCGTTTCCTCTACACCAGAGAGCAAGGGATGCCCAACCCTTTCTTCCAATTCCCGGGTGCCTGGCCTAGGCCTTGTGCCCCTATGACTCCTGGGGAGCTAACATGACCTCAGTCCTGGATAGAGCCTCTGTGGCCCCAGGAAATGGTGGGCTGGATATTTGCTAGCTCCTCTGACTGTGGCCAGCCTTGCAAACAACTCCAGACAAGCTTGGGACTTGCTTGGGCAAAAGTCCAGGGATGGTCCTTTATAACAGGGCAGCGAGGGGGCCAGCTTATAGTGGTCTCTGGGTGCTCTGGGTTCACCATCCCCTGTCTTATCTTATTAGGGACGTCTCATACACCTTGGTGATGGCTGACAGCATGGAGACTTCATTTTTGCTGGATAGACCCAGGGGAAGCCTGGTCCCTATGCCCTTTGGCCCCAGCCTAACCCCTCCCCCTGCCCGGCCATCCTGGTCTTAGTGTTGGGAATCAGCTGGTGCACAGGAGAGGCTCGCTTTTGAGGGGACGAGCAGAGTCACATGTGCTCAGAAGAACTGAGTGTGGCCATAGAGGAACTTGGTCTGGGTCTGGCTGAGTCTCAAGCCTGGCAGTGAGGGATGGGCACTGGCCTGGCCAGTGGCAGCTGTGCCCAACTTGCTCTTACCCCAGACCTCCCTCTTCATGTTTGTAGATGATCAAGGGGCCACAGTGGGGCCAACACAGTGCACCAAACTGTTCTCCATGTAAACAGAGAGATTCTAACATCACCTTCATCCAGAGTAGCTTCCTGTTCCCACCAGATCACATCCATGGCCTGCACAGCTGTTGGTGGGTGGGGGGTGGGAGGGCATGACTGCAGCTGGCCTGGTGCATGTGGGTACAGCCCTTGGGCAGGGGCTGTAAATGCCAATGACCCCCCTCTCAAGATCATGACCCAGTAGTCTCAGCCCCCTTCCCTCGGGAGTCAGGAGGGCAGGACAGGGGTGCTGGGGTGGGATGCAGGGTGTGGGATGGGAGAGTACAGGGCAGGGGGGTGCAGAGCTTGGGGTGCAGGACTGGAGGGGAGCAAGTTGGAGCTGTAGGCAGAGGGTAGTGTGGTACAGGGTAGGGGTGCAGACTGGGGTGGCTCAAAGTAGGAGTGTAGGGCAGGAGTTGTAAGTTAGGGAGTACAGGGTACAGGATGGGGTGGTACACAGTAGGTGGTACAACACTAGCAGGTGCAGGGAGAGGGCAGGGTAGAGGGTGCAGGGTAGGGGATGCTGGGTAGGAGCTGCAGGACTAGGGGTGCAGGTTGGGGGGTCAAAGGTGGGCTGGGATGTAGTGGGGTACAGGAGTGGGGGTAAAGTTTAGGGTTGAGGGCAGAGGATACAGGGTTGGGGGAGCTGCTGAGTGGAGGGCTGCCCTCTTACTGATTTTACTAGGGCCATCGGTATCCTAGCAATGTTTAGCCTCCCAATAGGTCCCTATTCCTCCACCCTGCAGTATGTGGGCCACAGCTCTGGGCCCGTCCTTGTGATGCTTCAGGTACCACACCCACATTCCATCTCTGTTCAGAAGTGGGTCCATCTAGGAGGCAGCTGAACATTATAAACCAAAGTTATCTAAATGCTGCCATGTTTAACAATGATTGGCATTTAAATCAAGTCAATTTCCATTTGACCCCAAGTCCACACAGGGATTAATCAGTGGCAGGTGGGTTATATAAAGGCCACGCTGGCTGGGAACGTGAGGAACGGGAGGTGTGCATGTCACACCACGCAGAAACCCATGTCCAGCCGTGCCACTCTGCAGATCCTGCTGTGGTGGTCACACCTAGATGACCGAGGTCTCTGTCTGCAGGAAGGACGCCGCGCGGGAGCCCCTGTGGAACTGCAGGGCGCCCTCTGAGCCGTGGCAGGAGATAGATGTGCTGCAGATCCTGTAATCCCGGCCTGGGAGTGGCCTCAGGCACTGGCTCCTCCATTTTCTCCTCAGCTCGCTCTGCACCTGGGCAGGAGAACAGGGGCATGAATGCAGGCCCCTTGGAAATGTGTCCCCAGCACAAGCCATCAGTTACCCCTCCCCCAGGTGTGCATCTCTCTGCATCCAGAGAGATGCACAGACGGGTGGGAAAAGGAGGTGGGGAGGGCCAGCAACCCCCAGATGAGGCTTCCAGTCCCATCGTCCCAGAGAGTTCACATATTTTTAGAAAGGGTCCTGCTTAGTGCTGGGGAAGCAAGAGCTGGGCTTCCCCTTTCTCCTTGTTCCCTGGGGCAGGGAAGGTGCTCTGGAACATTCAGGGTTGGGTAGGGGTCAAGTGAGGCCTGGGGCAAGTGAGTTGAGATAGGTGGAGGTCCTCGGCCAGCAGGAGGGACAAGGGGTCAGCCCTGTGGAAGTCATCAGCCAGGTAAACCCTCAGAGGAAATGCCAGTGGCTGGCAGGGCTGGATACAGTGGAGGCGTGGGCTTTCCTGAGCCACCCACCCAGGCCACCCTGCTGGCCGCATGTTTAGGGCTGAGCTGAGCCTTCACATCTGGGGAGTCTGTGAGCACTGGAGGGGCCAGTGGTGCAGAAGCTCCAAAGTGACATTGAACTGCATAAACTGCAAGCTCCTGGCAGTCTCTTGTCACTGATGTAGGTGGCCCTTGGTGCCAGCCATCTGACCCTGGAGCGGAGGCACAGTCTCTAGCCCTCCCCACCAGGGTCCCTCCTGACCAAGCCCTTCCCAGGACCTGGCAGGAAACCTGGAGGGGTTTGCAGAGGGGCTGGGAGTGATGCTTCTTGGGGTAGAGGGAGGACAGCACCAGCATGAGGCTGACCTGTAGCAGAGGGGCTCTTGGGCAGACAGGGCTTTGGGTAGCCCTCCCAGCCCAAGCATTTGTGCTGGGCCCTCGCAGGGGACTCACCTCGCTGTTCAGGAAGCAGTAGAGGACGGCCACTGCCAGGCCCTGCAGAGAGAAAGCCCCATCAGAGCCAGCACCAGCCTGGGCGGGACGCGCCTCGCACACCTACCTGGAAGGACCCGAGGCCCAGCTCAAACAGGATCTGGAACTTGGAGGAGATGCCAATGGGGAAGGCAAACACCATGTAGTGGACGCCGAACAGTGGGATGAGCAGCAGGGTGGACTTGGCCAGCCTCCTGAGCAGAGGAGAAGGGCACATTCAGCTGTGGACCTTGGGCTGCTGGGCAGGTAGTTAGGGGGTGGCTTTCTCTGAGTTAGGCAGGACCTGGCCCAGAGAGGACAGCCTGCTCTGAGGTCACCTGCCTGACAGCCTGGATGATACCACAGGGCCCTCAAGCCAGGCAGGGCCCTCCCCACTGATTTAGATTCTGGAGAGTCAAGTAAACCCTTCAAGTGTCTAGTGGGTTTTCTGTGTGTTGGAAGTGGATCTGCTGCACTCAGCTCTACCCCTAGGCAGGCAGATACCAATTTCCTCCGCGCCCCATCTAAGCCACCTTTCTGAACCTTCCCATGAATCAGGGTGCCCTAGAAACCTTGCTGAGATGTGGAGGTTCCTTCCAGAGTGGGAAGAGTGGGACCCTGGCCTGAAAGCCGGACCCGGCTGCTGTCTGGGACCCTCTTAGAGAACCCTTGCTGCATGTCAGCAGCACCTGGGCTATCACAACTCAGGGCAGCCTCCCCTATTCCAGGGGCATGAGGTCTCTCCAGAGGGACCTAGCCACAGTTCAGCACCTCCCCAGGCGACTCCAAGGGGGCCTGTGTGTCCAGCATGGGCCTCCTGAGGGGGTAGATGCTAGAGTATGCAGCCACTGAATAAATACCCAAGAGACCCACTGTGCAGCTAGAATGTTTAAGTGGAGGGCAGCCCCACCTGCTCTTACTATCCCTCCTGGCCTTTAGGGAAGAGCCTTCTGAACACATGGCTTTGGAGCCCAAGTTCTAGAAATGTGTTCTTTTTTCCCAAATTCCCTCACAGCAGAACATGCTGTGTCCTGTGTGTTCATGATAAGCCTAGAATACACCCAGAGCCCAGCCCGCCCTGAGGCAGGTGTGAGGGAGATGCAGCTGGACCCTGGGGCAGTGGGAGGGCTGGGCATTGCCCACCAGCCACCTGCATCCCCAGCTCCAGGAAGCAGCTGGTCCAGCGCGTGATGTGCGCACGCAGCTGGGGCTGGTGTATGGAAAGACGCCACCAGGTCCCTGTTATGAACATGCTTGAAATTTCTAGGAAAGAGGTTTCCCTGAGGCTGAGCCTCCTGGTTCCTGCCCAGGAGAGGCTGCTGCTTCTGAGGCCAGAGATTACACACAGAAGTGTCACAGAGGCCAGGGCAGAGCTGCCTTCCCTGTTGTCCTGGAGAAAGAACAGATTTTATTACCTCCACTTAATTTTGATTCCAAATAAACACATCACTGGGACCTGCATAACTAACACTTGATGAGCGTTAAGAAGAGGTCAGCACAGAAGCTAAATAAGATTTATAGAAAATCAAATTTCAATTTGAAGGGAACCCAGATGGTCTCTTCCTTGCTTCCTGCAGCCTCAGTACAAGGTCCAGGAGCTGTGTGCTTTACATCCATCCTTGGGGGTGAGAAACACTGCTGTCAAGGGGGAGAGACCACTGCTGTAGTATAGGACTGCTCATGGAGTCATGAGACTCCATGTGGGACCCATTCCAACATGGGCCGGAGGTAGAGCAGCTTGCTCCTTGAATTTTACACACTACTTGTCACACTTAAATTTATCTATTTACCAGACTTTCATAATACTTCCCACGATAGGCAGTAAGTGTATTTCAAATATTAGCCCCTTAATTCTCATAACCTGAGTAACAAATAATGTGATTATTACTTCCATTTTACAGATGGGATACAGTGGGGACATGATTTACTAGGCTGTGGGCTAGCATGTAAACCCAGTACTGAGCTTCTGCACCTGCTCCAATCTCACCCATCTTCCCAAGTGTGTCCCTGTGCTTTCTGAGGAAGGGCCAGGACCCCTAAGTCCCTGCCTGGTCTGTTGGAGCCCTACCCTAACCCAACCCTAACCCTGCCCTGATAAAGACTCATGGAATCTTCGAATTTCTCTATAGATTTCTCAGGTCATTCACTGGCCAGATGATGGAGAGTGACTTCCTCACCTCTGCTCTTCCTTCCTCCCCTTCTGAAGGCGATAGTGCCATCTTCATCATTTAATCACTCAGTCAACACACAGGGCTATCACTAAGCACAAGGTCTGGTGTGAGGTGCCAGCCACAGACATAGGGCCGGGGACCATGTGGTCTGGTGGTGAAGACAGAGGAGATGCAAAATAAAAGTAACGTGGCCAGGGAGAAAAAGAGCACCTCATGGGCACGAACACTGAGATGAAAGTCACTGGACACCGACACCCCACAGAGATGCAGGCTCTAAGCAGATCCCTGGTGCTCAGCCCCGAGCCTGTGCCAGACTGAGTGGGACCTGGGCCACCCGAGGTCTGTCTTAGACAACAAATCCCAGGCACCTTGGGGAGTCTCCACTGCTGCTGTCACAGGTTGGCCCAACCTCTAGGTGAGCCTGGCTGGACCACTGTCTGACTGCTGTGGCCAAAGGCTTGGTCCCCCTCCCTGTGACGATCTCCTAGGCTGGCAGGGGCTGAACATGTACTCACTTATATTGTGACCGGTCATTGCCACCAATGTCTGGCGATGTCAGCTTCTGCAGTAAGATTCTTATAATACTGATGAAAAGGACAAAATTGACCTGCAAAAGGAAACTATGTTTGTGTGTGATTTTGCACTCTGAGGATAGGGAGCAGTGTCGGGGCTCTGGTGTGCTCTCCCATAGGGCCTTGCACTGCCCAACCTTGGGCTTCACAGCTGTAGGGAATTAACTTGGGCAGGTAGAAGGACACCCGGCCGGCCATGCCATGCAGCTGACTTGGACCCCCACTCCTGCCCTCCCTCTGTATGCCTTGCGAGGCCCTTTCTGTAGAAGCTGAATGGAACGAGGCCGTTCATTTATATTTAACAAAGGTAACAACCCTCTGTCTGGCCAAGTGAGCTGCTCGACAGATAGCTTGTGGTTCAATACAGCAGTTACTTACCACAATGGAAATTAAAATTGGCATTCGAATAACCCACCAGGGAACACTGTGGTCGTTTGTATCCCAGCAACTGTGGAAGATAAGAGGAAAGTCACATCAGCACTGAGTCTGCCTACACTGGAGGCACGTGAGGACCAGGGCAGCTGGCCAGGGTGTGTGTGGCTGGCTGGGTCGGCTGTGGATCCCTCCTCACCTGCCCTACTCCCCAGAAGCACAATTACTCTGCACTGAGAGACCATGCAGCATCCTGTCCCCCGAGAGTGATTTTGTTTGGTTTTCTTCTTCTTAACACAACAATCTTCAGTAAAGGGGAGGCATGGTGTTGCCCAGAGTCTGGGAGAAGGTGTGTCACCCCTGGTCCCCCAGAACTCCTGATTCTCCACTTGTGCCACCCTGCCAGGCTCAGGCAGGTATCACTAAAAAATAATTAGTTTCCTCTCCCCAAATGGTTTGCATCTGTCTTGTTAATGAAAGTTTAAAAAACATCTTCAGGCTAGGCATGGTGGCAGACCTCTGTATTCCCAGCACTTTGGGATGCTGAGTTGGGAGGATCACTTGAGGCCAATAGTTTGGAATAAGCCTGGACAATATAGCAAGACCATGTCTCTTGTTACAAAAACAGAAGGAAAAAATAGCCAGGTGTGGTGGGCACCTGCAGTCCCAGCCACTTGGGAGGCTGAGGCAGGAGGGTGCTTAAGCCTAGGAGTCAGAGGCTGCAGTGAGCTACGATGGCACACTGCAATCTAGCCTGGTGACAGATAAGACCCAGTCTCTGAAACAAAAACAAAAACCTTAAAAGAAAGTCTTCAGAATAGCTGTAGTGAAGATGCACTGTAGGGAAAGCTCCCCAGCAGTGTTTTCAGGTGAGAGTATCTCCAGCATACACATGTGATCCCCTCTGGGAGCCACACCCTGCAGTCCTCCCAGAAGGGCACTGTCACCCATGACCAGGCATGGCCCTGGACCCAAGTCAGGGGCGTCTCCACTGCTGTTGTCATAGATTGGCCCAACCCTGTGGGTGAGCCTGGCTGGACCACTGTCTGGCTGCTGTGCCCAAAGGCTGAAGAGTGACTGTCCCCAGTAGGTGCATTCCTGGGGCTGTGGTTTGTCCCAGTCTCAGCCCAATGCCCACCTAGGATGCTGCCCATGTCCCTGTCTGGCCAACCCCAACCTAAGCTGCAGTGAGACCTGGATCCTTTCCCAACTTGGGTGTCTTCCTGCAAATGTTTTGGCCCAGACAGACTCTTCCCTCATCCTACACCTCTCCTTTACAGCAAGTGCTGCCTGGAAACTCCAAACTCAGGGTTGGCTGCAGATGCCTCTTGTCCTTCCAAAAGTAACTCTGTCTTGAGTTTCCAAAGGGTGCCATATGGACTGACTGCACTTCTGGGTTATGGGGTGGGTCCAGCACTCACCCTGTGTCCTCCAGATGGAACCTGGCCACAGCCCATGCTGCTGTGCAGACAGTGGGGATGCCTGCAAAGAGACATTGTGTCACACACGTCCCACCCTGTGCAACCAGGAGAGCCATGCCCAGTGGTGGGTGCCACTGGCCGAGTCACTGAGGACAAGCTCCTGTCAAAGTCGTCACAGACTCCCTAGCAGTTATGGCCACGACTTGCTCAGCAATGAGGTATTTGAGAACATCTGGCAGGGGCTGAACTTGCCACCCCGTGTGAAAGTGCCACTGCAGAGATCCTGGGGCCTTGTATGCAGGAGGGTGTCTAGGTGAGGCTGGCTCCCCTGGTGGGTGTGTCCTCAGCCGCCTCCCCTGACTTGCCATCAGTGCAAGCTGAGCTGGGGCAGACAGTGGAGGAACAAATGGTTTTGCTACTTGATTTTGGGGTAAAGGGGGCTGGGAGGGGCATGTGAAGCATTTTAAACAAAGTTCTGGTTCACCAGAGACACCACAGGGTTGTCTGCAGGAACCTCCGGTTGCCCTGGAGAAGCTTGTCCTAATGGGAGCCTGAAAAGCACCGATGGGCAGCCCCAGGGGCTGCTGGGCTGGACAGGTTGTGTTTGCCGGTCACCTTACCCCATCCGATGAGTAGATAGGCCAGGAAGCGTCTGCCGGGGAAGATGAGAGCCACCAGCAGGGTGTGGAGGTACAGCCCCTCCACCAGCAGCCAAAAGAAGTTGGCCATGGTGCAATACTGGAAGAAGACGAGGCTCAGCTTGCAGCCCACCTGGAACAGACAGAGAGCACTGCCTAGTGAGGGTGGCACGACCATGCAGGCGGAGCTGCTTAGGACATTGGGCAGAACAGGGTGCCCCTCAGGCAGGGGCACTAGCTGGGACCAAGTGTGTGGTTGGGACTGTGGGTCACAGCACTGGGGACCACTGTGGAGCCTCCCCCAGAGCCCAGACTTCAGGCCTCTGTACACCTGCCAGGCTGGCTGTCCCTCCTCTAATGCTTCCTCCCCTCAGTTTTTCCCTCCATGTCCCCTTGAAATCAGAGACCAAGACACCACACAGGTGAATGTGTGAGCACAGCAGGTGTAAGGTAACCCCACACGGCTGCCAGCTATCTCTTTGACTGGCAGTTTGGGGGAAATGCACTTGGGAAGAGAAAACAAGGGTCCAAAACTAGGCTCCAGGACTCTTCTAAATTTTTGATGAAAAGTTCCCCAGTTGTAAAAAAGTGGTTTTTAATTTTAGGAAGCTTAAAAAATGAAAAAATGAAAAGAAAAACATGAGAAATCTGGCAAGTATTTCTATTTTCCCTGGGAGTCTCGGGCGACGTGGCATCTGGCCCCAGGGACTTGGGCGTGTTGTTGGCTGCTCCTCTACCAGGTCTCCTTATTTGTAAAATGGGGTATTCACTTGTATTTGCCAACAGTGTCTCTGGAAATAGCTTGGCACTCGAAAGAGACCCCACAAATGTTGTGGGACTGCATGGCAGGTGATGCCAGGGCCAGCTCAGAGCTGACTCTGCCTCCTGGGTCCCTGAGTGGGGGCGGGTCAGGTCCTTCCAGCCAAAGTGGCCACTGCTCCAGATAGATGCCCGACTCTCATGGGTCTGTTGGGACCCCTGTTTTCTTAACTAAAGAGAGAGCTAAGGGGAGAGGCCTCTCCAGAGTGAGGTGAGAGGGAGCCCGGTGTTCTCCTGCTGGCCTTGTGGCTCCAGCCACATGCACATGGGAGCCCTGTGTCTGAGGACAGCTCCAGGGCCCACCTCTCACGTATAGTGGAACTTTACAGATGAAGGGTCTTGCCTTTGACCTTGTCATCACAACAATCTATAGGTGTCCCAAGCCTGGTTATGCCCTGAGACCTGTGGAGCAGCTGGCCTCTTGGAACTTTACCATCTTTGAACTAAACTAATTCCAGTCAGTCTGACCCAGCAGCTGTGCCTGCAGGTAGATGGACCTGCCTGAAGTATGAGGGAGTGTGCTGAGTCCCTGCCTCCCAGTGAGAGAGGAGCCGCCCTCAGTAATGAGGACCTTGGCTAGAGCCATGTGCTGAGTCCTGAATGCTGCCCAGAGGCTAAGTCTGCAGCAGTAGAGAGATGCCCAGTGGAATGGCCAGGAGGACTCAGTGATCTTTGTGGTACCAAACTGGCTTGATTAGGTGCCACAGTACAATGGCATGGAAGACGTGAACTGACCCTGCAGAAATCAGTCATCAGGATTACTCATCCTTGAAGTCAAACACCTGCAGCCGGGCTATGTGCCCTGTTGCCTGTGCACCCTTTATTCATCAGTCTGGACAGAAGCATTTATTGCTCAGAATATAGGAGATTCATACAGGAGTTCCCATCCCTCAGTCTGTCTACAGGGTCAAAGCTCAGGGCTTTAGCTGCTGCCCGACAGTGGCCTGGACCCCACCCCTTCCCTACCTCTACCAGCCCCAAAGGGTCCTACTCTGGCCAGGCTACTGCCTTTCAGGCCAGGCCTGAGCCCTGACCAGGCTGTACACTAGCATGAGATGCTGTCAGCTTGAGAGGTGGGAACAGAGACAGGGCAGGACGACAAGGAGGCAGGTCAGCAGGGGTGCCCAAGCCCCTGCCATGGGGACGTGGGGATGGCCTTACCCAGGAGGATGCTTGGTCGGGGCAGTGCAGTGTGCCTGAGCTGGAGTAGAGGACGTCATCCTTGACCAGCACTGAGATGGCTCTCAGGATGAAGGACAGGAACAGGTTCAGGTGGATGTAGTTCCTGGTGCAGTGCAGCTTCCTGGGGAGGGGCAGGGGAGAGGAGGGAGAGCCAAACACTGATTTTGTGGGCACCTTAGTAATCACATATGTGGCTTTAATCTTCAGCTCTTCTTTTAAAATAGTCATTTATTTAACCATTTGCTTATCTTTGCATATTTAGGTTGATTTTAGCTTTGTGTTATAATAATTTTTTTTTTTACATAAATCCATCCTCTTATTTTGGAGTATGGTAGAACCTCCATAGCTGGCCACTTCCCTCCACTGACCATCTCCTTGAGTTGACCTAATTTTCTCAGACTGGACGTGCCCCACGTGGCCGTGTCAGTGCAGGAGGCCTAGTTCCTCATGCTGATCATCTCCGTGTAGTGACCAGCTTGTTCCAGTCCTTGGGTGGTCATTCACAGAGGCTCTGCTGTGTTTCCCTAGGTCATATTCCTAGAATAAAATCTTAGGACAAAATCAAGACGCCATGGCAGGAGCATTCCAGACATGGCAGGACGTCTGAATGGCCTCAGGTAACATGGCCAAGTCAGGTGATGACTGAGCCTTCCCTCCTCTCCTGCCGGTCTCTCCTCAGCTAATTATTGTAATTAATAATTACAGTATGCCCATGCACATTCACACCTGGCTCTCAACCCTAACCCTGCCTGGAGTTGCTTCTGCCACTCACCCCTGTGCTCCAGGGAAGGCGTGACCTGCCCTCTGAAGAGCAGTCCCATAGGTCCGACATGCAGGGTGGCGCCTTCCCCCAGCTGCACCTCCTTCTCCTTCTCACACCTGTCCTTTCACCCTTCATGACCCTTGACCTGTGCTGTCTAATCTATAGCATGAGCTACATGGTGCAAATGAGAGTGAACTGGGTCTGGTCCAATAGTGCTGGACACTCCCTGGTACTCTATACCATACATCCTGGTTCTAGTTGATGCGAATAGACTGAATTTAAATGACTTTTTCTATGCATATGTGGAACTTGTGACATAAAATTCCATGGAGACAGCATGAGTTAGATAGTTGTGTAAATTATATATAGTTATTAAATGGAAATACTTTTTTAAAAATTTTTTTGAGACAGAGTCTCACTATGACATCCTTGGTAGACTGCTGTGGTGTCACAGCTCACAACAACCTCAAACTTCTGGGCTTAAGTGATTTTCTTGCTTCAGCCTCCCAAGTAGCTTGGACGACAGGCACCTGCCACAATGCCCGGCTATTAATTTTTTGGTTGCAGCTGTCGTTGTTTAGCAGGCCTGGGCCAGGCTCAAACCTGCCAGCCTCAGTGTATGTGGCTGGCGCCCTACTCACTGAGCTACAGACACCGAACTGGAAATACTTTTAATTACAATTAATTTTTTTTTAGTTTAAAAAATAAGTGTGAGCAAATTTAAAATGAAAGCACATTATTGATACAGAACCAGATCTTCAGAAACTCATTTCATGACCAGAAAATTATAGAAAAAAAGAAACTATAGGAGGATGTGTAGCAAATTTTACAATGAATGGCAACTGTGATCTGCTGTGGCTGAGAAAAATGACAAAGCTCTTGGATGCATTGACAGTTTTTGAGATAACAGTATGGATGAGATGAAGAGATGTTTTAGCAAATACACATTGAATTTGGTAAGAAGTTTCCTATCGATAGTCAAAAACTGCCATAGTCATCTGAAATCAAAATAAAAATTATCACAAAGCAGGCCAGTGAAATGGTGGAGTAGGGACCACCTCTCAAAAAATACTAAAAACCTGGCACAAACTGCCAGTGTAGTCCCACCACTACAGGACTACCCCTCTCAAAAAATACTAAAAACCTGGCACAAACTGCCAGAGTTAGCCACACTGAACCCTCAGGTCAGAGCTCTCCCTGTCTACAATTTGTTCTTGTTCCTTGCCATGCATTACAGCTGTTTATTTTGTGACTTTTCTAAGCTATTTTTGTAAAGACTGTGTTAGTCTTTGGTGGTCTCTGAAGCTTTTATGCCATTAGCTTACTAGTCACTGTTTGACATATTTCCATAAACACCAGAAGCCAAAGGGATAAAAATTGAAAGAAAAGAAAAGCTATCTTAAATACGCTTATAGAGCTAAAAGAGACTACAGACAAATACCTAAGGGAAACTGGAGAAACAGTGTCTCACCAAAAGGAGAACACCAATAAAGAGGCAGAAATCACAAAAAGCAGCCAAGTAGAAATTTTGGAGCAGAAATGTACAATAAGTGAACTGACAAATTCACTGGAGGAGAGGAAAGCAGATTTGAACAGGAAAAAGCATCAGCGACCCCACAGGTGGATCATGAACTTACCCAGTCTGAGGAGCAGGCGAATGATGGGCAGAGACACCTACAGAGCTGCCAATCCTGCCACACCTGCATGGTGGGGCACCAGAAAGACGGCCCAAGTCCCATGCAATTAAAAGGGGTCCTGGATAGCAAAACAATCTTAAAAAAACAAAGCTGAAGAACTCAACTTCTTAATTTCAAAATCCATTACAGATAAAGTGACCAAACAGTGTGGTGTTGCCAATGGAATGCAGAACCCAGAGGTAAACTTAGGAGCCAAGAACACTCATTAGGGAAGGACAGCCTTTCAGCAGCAGTGCTGGGATGACTGGACAGTCACATGCAAAAGGGCAGATCGGAACCCCTCCTCTTGGCAGACACAAAAGTCAGTCACTCAGAACGGAACAGTGATTTGCCCATGAGCTGAGACTGTACAACTCTGCTGGAAAATGCAGAGACAAACCTTCACAACTTTTGGGTCTTAGACAGGAGACCAAAAGAGAGAAAAAAGATACAGTTGACTTCATCAAAATTAAAAGTGAGAGAGAGAGCTCAAAGCACACCTACAGAATGGGAGGAAATGTTTGCAAATTTATATCTTATAAGGGTTAGTATCCAGAATAAATAAAGAACTTTTAACACTCAACAGCAAAAAGCCAAACAACCCAATTAGAAAATGGGCAAAGATTTGACTATAGATTTCTCTAAAGATCTATTGATGGCCAGAAAGCAAAGTAAACCAGGAGACATCACTTCACACCACTGGATGGCAACAACAACAGTATAAAAAAACAACAGGAAGTAAGAAGTACTGGATAGCACCTGAAGAAATTGTTGCCGGAAATGTGAAATGGTGTTGTCACTGTGGAAAACAGTTTGGTGGGTCCTCAATAAATTAAACACAGAATCACCATATGTTGTGGAATTCCACCAGTAGCAGATACCCCATAGAGTTGGAAATAAGTGATTGTGATGGTTAAATAACACGGTGAAAATACTTAATGCCACGGAATTGTACACTTTTAACGTGGTTCAAATGGTAAACTTGGGCGGCGCCTGTGGTCAAAGGAGTAGGGTGCCGACCCCATATACCAGAGGTGGTGGGTTCAAACCCGGCCCGGGCCAAAAACTGCAAAAAACAACCAACCAAACAAACAAATTAAAAAAAATGGTAATCTTTATGTGCACTTTACCACAGTTTAAAAAAAACCCAGGGGTGGTGCCTATGGCTCAAAGGAGTGGGGCACCAGCCCCTTATGCTGGAGGTGGCAGGTTCAAACCCAGCCCCGGCCAAAAACTGCAAAAAAAAAAAAAAAATTCCAATAAAAGTTTTTAATGCTATTATAGTCAGCTGTAAAACAGATTCTTACACATAAAAAAAATAATATTTAGCTGGAGAGATGGTTAAAAACAATTCTTTTTTTTATGAAAGTATTTTTAGAAATATATAAAGAATAGATTAAAAATACAGTTTTATAAAAGTGAAACATTTTCAATTAAGCCAAACTTAGAATATAAGCCCTTTATAACATTATCAAAGGTCAGTTAATTTAAAACAGGAGAAGTTTAGCTGGGCGTTGTGGTGGGCACCTATAGTCCCAGTTACTTGGGAGGTTGAAGCAAGAGGATTGCCTGAGACCAAGAGTTTGAGGTTGTTGTGAGCTGTGATGCCACAGCACTCTACCTAGGGTGACAGAGACTCTGTCTCAGAAGAAAAAAGACCCCCCCCCCCCAAACTTGAGAAGTGGCACATACTCTTGTTTCAGATGAGTGATATGGTTAGAAACTACTGGACAAGTGATACTCTGAATATGTTTAATTTGAAATTCCTTTCAAATTTATAAACAGAGTCCAACTGATGGCCTAAAATTTGAAATTGTAGTGTGGTGTCAAAACCTGAATTTCTGAGAATTCATTCAGAATTTAAAATAAAGCCCTGAGATTCCATTATTGTTCATTTCTCTGCATGATACTACTGAAAATATATGTGCTCTGCTTTCAGAAGCTGACTATAAACACCACCAAGAATGAAGTTGTTGAAATCTTTTTTCAATACACTTGTATATATGCAAATGCTTTGAGTCTCAGTTTATGGAACAGCAGAGACACGGAGAGCAATGACCTTGTGCTCTTTGTTGGTGCCTGTTAGCTGAGTCACAGGAGCATTTCATAAAATTCATTCTATTGTTAACTCTAAGTCAAGATCTTATAGAAAAACAATATTTAACGAGCACAGACTAGATGACAGTATAATTTATGTTTTCTCACCGGTATCTCATGGAATTTGAAACCTCAAGGAAAGGCCTTAAGTGATGTAGCTAGGCATGGACAATTATATCAAATGAAAACATTTCATGTTATAAGTTATACCTAATGATTTAATATATTATTCTAACATGAATAAATATGCAGAATATTTTAATTGCAATAAACAACATCATATAAACTGGCTGAAAAATACCATAAAAATGCAGAGAATGCTTTTTATATAGTAAGTTAGCAGTGTTTGCCAACTTCTGCCTTGCTCCTTTCTCATTAATAATGAGTTGACACAGAGTTAGTTAAGTTTGCCTAACTTGGCAGATATGGTTTGCTAACAAGCTTCTGCTCAAAGTTAAATCAATTTTTCTAAAAACAATGAACTGAATAAAAAGGGAAATGGCACAGTGGGTCATGCCTGGATGCCAAGGCTGGGTGGATTGCCTGTGCTTGGGAGTTTGAGACCAGCCTGAGCAACAGCGAGACCTTGTCTCTAAATAAAAATAAAAAAATACCCAGGTGTTGTGGTGGATACCTATAGTCCCAGCTACTTGGGAGGCTGAGGCAGAAGGATCACTTGAGACCAAGAGTTTGAGGTTGCTGTGAGCTGTGACAGCATGGCACTCTACCCAGGGCAATAAAGGGAAACTCTCAAAAAAAAAAAAATGGGGGGAGATGACTTTTGGTGACTAATTCATTTGCAGGAGAATTTTTAAGTATGTTTGGACAAGTTGATACATTTGAGCACTTTGTCAACTGTAGATTTTATAAGATCTAAATGCAGATCAAATATTTCCAAATCAAATTTTGTGGCCAAATTGACCTACATTGTATGAACTAAAAACTGTGAATGTAACAATGTAAATAAGTCATTAATAGTCTTTTAAATTGATAATATTTTGGATCTAACAATTGCATAAAGTGTATTATGAAAATAAACTTCACTAGTTTCTTTTTATTTTTAAAATGTGGCTCCTAAAACACTTGGAATCATGGGAAGGTTCTGCACCCTGACTCTTTCTGCTGGCCAGTGCTGGTCCAGACAGTTCTCAACCCTGTGGCTGCTGCGGCTTCGGCTCCTTCTCTGGGTGTCCGTCCAGTCTGTCACAGACACCCACTCCTTGCTGGGAACATCTGCCTGCTCCAGCACTTTCAATTCCTTCTAGAAACCTCTTTCCAGAGCATGAGGATCCTTCTCTTCCACTCAAAACCTCTCAAATCAGCCTCTAGTCTAAGATTCTGCAGTCTCAGGCCCCAGTGATTTCTTGAGCCTCATTTTACTATTTTCTCTCCTGCTCACTGTGTGGTGCACACTTGCAGCTGTCGCCTCCCTATCCTGTTGCCTGGCTCTTATTCCCAACACTGCTCCTCCCATAAGACCCTCAGCAAACACCAATGTGAACCTCTCTTTGGGCTTAACTTCAGATGATAAATTGCTTCTCCCCCAAATGCTCAGAATATTTTGTTTGTAACTCTTATAACACTTAAACTCTGCTTTGCAGAACATGTGACTGTGAGGGCATAGCTGCCAGGAATCTGAGTGAGGATGCATTGGGAAGGAGGTCTGGAGCAGGTTCTAGGCTCACTGTCTCCATGGGAGGTGCGCTCACCTTGCCAACCAGTGCCAGGCTGTACATGCGCCTTATTGAACACCTGCTTCATCAATAAGCATCACTGCACGCAGTCCACACCTACAGCACCTTGGCAGGTGAAGAATGTGATTAGAATCTAATGTTTCCTTGGTGTCTGGGCAGTCTTGGATGCTGAGCTCCCAGGGTATAGGGGCCTGGTGGGCTCGGGTGCCTGCACCAGGCACGCCCCCCCATCTCTCCAAATCACTTTTCCTTTCCTCTATGACTTCCTTTTTTCACCTTCCTTCCCTCCCACCCATGACTTTTCATGGTGAGGGGCTGGGGGTCTGTGGCAGTCACCCCAGCCCTAGCACACTTTCGTCTCAGCAGGTAGTCCTAGACTTTGTGAGAGTCCCAGCTTTCTGCTCATTGTAGTGTTTCACTCCAGAAGCTGGATCTGCAGGTGGGTGACTGATATAAACCAAAGCATGGCTTCCAGGTAAGCGAGACTACAGCCCGCTCACTAGTGATGGCTGGGAATGGACTTCGAAGGCTGTGGTGGTGAGAGCCCGTGTGAACCAGTGCCCTGGGGCCTCCTCTCTGCCTGGTGCAATGGGGCAGTGACAGCAATTTTTCAAGGAGGATGTAAGTTCTAAAGCACCTACAAAATGCTTGGTGAAGTATACATTAGCAATTACAGTCTTCCCTTGTTACTCACGGGGGCTCTAGGATCCCATCCAAAAGTCCTAAGGATCCCGGGGAGTCAGATCTCCCTACCTGCTCTGTGTCTAGGACATGGACACCCTGTCCTGCCAGCTGCTGCAGAGAGTTAGGGCCATCTTTTCAGGTCCCAGTCATGGGGTAGCCTTGACCTGCACTTGGGACATGGTCTAAGAATTAAGTAGCTCCATTTCTCCCTGCGTAAAACAAGGATGTGGTAACTTACTGCTTTTAGTTCATGGGGCTATGAAGAATAAATGTTTGAGGACTATGAGGAATGCTGCTTCCTGGGTATAACATGGAGGCAACAGAGCATGTTATTTTTATAATATGAATTTTGGAGTCATCTGGCTCTAAATGCTGGAGGAGTTGGCTGGGCCCCATGGAGGTCCCAGGTGAAGGCAAAGCCCAGAATCCTTCCTGGCTGGGACACTTTTCTGGATGTGTCATGAGTGCAGCCATCAGCAGAACAGCAGTCAAAGCAGACATGTCTGCTTGTTTGAGACAGAGCCTCACTCTGTTGCCCTTGGTAGAGTACCATGGTGTCATCACAGCTCATACAACCTCAAACTCTTAGGTTCAAGTAATCCTCTTGCCTCAGCCTCCCAAGTAGCTGAGACTACAGGCACCTGCTACAATGCTCAGCTTAATTTTCTATTTTTAGTAGAGATGGTCTTGCTCTTACTCAGGCTGGAGACATGTCCTTTCTGCAATTAAACAGTCACAGGCTAACCAAAACAGGAGACTGTGTTTGATGTCCATGAAACGATCTAGACACCTTAAAGGATCAGTGTTCCTATGTGTAATAATTCCAAATGCTCTTGGCTAGTTAAATATATCATGCTGTACAAACTGAAGGATGTTAATGTATGTTGAAAATATGGATTGTTCAGAACAGGAAAATAAAATAAGTTTTAGTTTGATTACTGTGTGTCAGCTTACCTCCCTAAATTTTTCCTTTGTTTCTTCAGCAATTTAAAAATTTAAACAATACGTAGTAGACACACCTCTTGGGGGCAAGACACAATTATAAGAGGGACTTTACCTAACAAAGGCAAACATTGTAACCTAATTCTTTGTACCTCAATTAACGTGAAACAATAAAAAAAAACATAGTAACATATAGAGCAGCGGTTCTCAACCTGTGGGACCCACAGGAATTATATGAAAGGGTCACGGCATCAGGAAGGTTGAGAACTACTGATATAGAGTATAATAGAACATATTAAAATTGTACCAGTTTTTTTTTAAAGTACGAGAATATGATAGATTTTCCCACACTTTCCAAAGTGTAGTTCTGGATTAAAGGCACAGACTTACTCTTTCTGAAATCATAAACCACAGTTAAGATGCCTGGAAAGTGAGCGGTTCAACTCAGTCACGTTTGCTGGGCTTCTCAGCTTATTTGTCATCAGTCCTGTCTCATTTATTTTTCTTCTAAGTCTAATAGGCTATCGCCAGGTTCTAGAAATATCCCATTTGCTATTTCACTGATTTTATCTGACATGCCAGTGAACATTTGCTCTATATTTTAGCAAAGAGAAAATATGTGGTAATAGAAACACTTCAAAAACAAACAAGATATCATTCATTTTATTTAGTGTTAATAATACTTAAGACATGGATTTAATCCTAAAACATGAAATAGCTCTTCCAACAGAGAAACTTCTGTTCTGGGACCAAAGTCTCTATTCTTTAATCCTGACTGACCACCTGTGAAATGTGGGTTGTCACCAAAGAGACCTATGGAAGACTCAGGAGGGAAGGGGTGTCCAGCCTCATCCCCAGGAAGGAGCAGGCAGCCATGTGCTGTGCTGAGCCCTTCCACCACCGACACCTCACATCCACACTTTACAGATGCGCCAAGAGGCTAAGCAATTAGTCCAAGGCCACGCAGCTACCACGAGATTAACCCAGCTTCTGAACCCAGACAGTATTCATGCTTTTAAATCCACTGGAGTGTCTTTCAAGAAAGCAAAAACATAGAACCTGCTGGGACAAAGGTGAGGTCACCTCATTTCTGCCTTTCATAGGCACCTGGATGATGGCCAAGTACTTACTAAGTGACAGCAGGACTGTACTGTCCTCTGAAGTGCTGTCTCACAGCCCCAACCTGCCCCTCGGGTGCTGAGAGGCCTGACCTGCCCCAACCTTGCCCCGAGCTGTCTCCAGCTTTGCTTGTCATGCAGGCTCCACAGGTTGGCTCATTTCTGCTAATTACCTGAAGACGCAAAGAATTATGCTTCCAGTTGCAAGGGACATCAGGGAGACACTGTAGCCCAGAGTATAAATGGCCTTCACCAGAATATAAAATGTGATCTACAAAGAAAGAAGAACAGATCAGTAAACTGCTGGTGACCAGCATCAGACCTGGGAAGGACTGTTCCCTGCCTGGGCCCTGCGGCCACCCACCTCCACCTGAACCAAGAGGTCATTCACTGCTTTCCATCTATCCTACCACCTCTCCTCAGAACTCATCACAAGCAAGCATCCCGGTTTTTGCAAAACAAACCTATGGGGAACACGGTCTGCCCCCACAAAGGAAAGCTCAGGGAGGGAGCAGGGAGCTAAGTCCAGAGGAAAGCATGGTCTGTGCCCAGAGCAGTGCACTGGGGAGGCACCAGCCTTCTGGGTACATGTGTTTGAACAGCTCAAGTAGACACACAGCTGAGGACAGTAAGACACCCACTGACAGAGTCAAGTGGAGGGACCTGCCCAAATAGTAACTCACCCACGAAGAACCATCCCCCACCCTTTTAACAGGTGTCTCACACAGAAAGGGAGATTTGCCAACCCCCACCCTTCTGGTCTTTAAAACTCCCATCCACCATTACCCATGGGCTGATTTCCTTCTCCAACTCAGCTTGCCCTCACTGGGGTGGAAATAAAAAGCTGACGTTGCCCACACAGAACCTGGATTCTGTTTTCCTTTCGTTTTGCATCTTGGAATGACTTTTATTTTGGTCTTTGACCTCTCATTTTGGTGCTGTGACTGGATAGGGAGAAACCCCCTTGGGGGGTGGAAATACACGCTGTTAGACCCAACTAGATGGACTCTTGTTCCGACGAGATGAAGGAAAACAGGGGAACCTCTCCAACCCCTGCCCAAAATTCATCCGTTTAATGGTGAGGTGAGCATTTGTCTAGAATCCCTTTTTGAACTTTTAAAAACTTCTCTGTTTCCCCACTCCAACTCCTCTTCCCTTCTCTCTCCATCTCTGGAGCTCTTAAGAAGTTGTATATAGCCCCTCTCTAAGTTTTTAAAAAAATTCTGGTGCTCTGTGCTTCACTCTGGTGAGCCAGGCTCGCCTGTCCAGTGGCTAGTGTTTGGGGACGCACTGCCATGGGCCTGGGCTACTCTTCTGACTGGTTAACCCCAGCCTCGCTTTTTCTGGCTAGTTTTACACGCAGAGGCCTAGTACCTCTCTGATCTCAACCCTGGACACCTATGGATTCACCCCATGAACCAGGCTTGCCGTCCAGTGTTTCATGTTTGAGGACACTATCCTGTGGGCCTGGGCCACTTTTTCTGGCTGGTTAACCCCAGCCTCCTTTTTTCCAGCTGGTTTCACACATGGAGGCCTAGTACCTCCCTGATCCCAGCCCCAGACACCTACAGGCTCTCTTTACATTCTTGCTTTAAGTTCATTTATTTTTTTACTTCTAGTTTCCAATATGGGGACCACTCAGTCACGAATTCCCCCTTCTTCACCTTTTTTTTTTTTTTTTTTGAGACAGAGCCTCAAGCTGTCCCCCTGGGTAGAGTGCTGTGGCATCACAGCTCACAGCAACCTCCAACTCCTGGGCTCAAGCAAGTCTCCTGCCTCCGCCTCCCAAGTAGCTGGGACCACAGGTGCCCGCCACAACGCCAGGCTATTTTTTGGTTGCAGCCATCATTGTTGTTTGGCGGGTCTGGGCTGGATTCGAACCCGCCACCTTAGGTATATGTGGCTGGCGCCTTAGCCACTTGAGCCACAGGCGCTGAGCTGCCCCTTCTTCACCTTTAAGCTGCCTTTTAACTCACCTCAAGCCTCTAAAGCTCTATCCAGACCTTAAACCTAAACACCTCATTGTTTTCTGTAATAGTGCCTGGCTTATGTACAGACTAGACAATGATTCTCTATGGCCTAGGCCTACCAATTCTCACTGATCTCAATAATTACTGTTAGAAATTAGGCAAATGGTCAGAGATTCCCTACCTCCAGGCTTTTCTCTTCCTTCAAAACATTCCTTGTATTGTCTTGTGAACACAAGTGGTCTGAAATTCCCTACATCTAGGCCTTTCCCCTCCTCCCCCAACCTCATTCCTACCCACTGCAATCCTACCTGCAGAATTCCACCCCATCCCCCCACTCCTCCTGCGGCACATTATAGAGAGAAAAAAGTGGCAGAAACATGAGAGAAAAGAAACTTGACAAAACTCCAAAAATTCCCCCAGGGCCCTCAAATCCCTTCTCCCCCTTAGCAAGATCTCATTGATCTGGCCTTTAAGGTGTGGCAGTGCCTCTCAGAGCTCTAGTTATTGGCTTCCGCCATTGGATGAAACCTACTACTTCTTGAAATTCCTCTGGGCAGTCCAAAAAAAGAAAACTCCCCTGGGACCATGTTTTAAATGCAGTAGGCTGGAACACTGGGCAAAGCAGTGCCCAAATCCAAATCCTCCCCACAAGCCATGTCCAGCCTGCAGAGGTCCTCACTGGAAGTCTGACTGCCCAGGTCTTTCTGGACATCTGGTTTGCAGTCATTCCCAGGACCTAGCAAAATTTCCCCACCTAAGCCTAGCTGCAAAAGATTGATGATCCCCAGAAAATCAAGATGCCCTCTGGATGTCATCCTGGAAAACTAAACTCTGGGTATTTTTACTAGTGGAAGTTTTGGACCAGTAATCCTCTGTCTCATCTCTCGATTTACTGACCAGGCAGTCTCCTGAAAAACGACTGTTCATATCCTTGCCCTATGTGGATGTCAACCAGTTCAAACTGAAGACCCAAAATGTTCCTGGAAAACATCCCTCCCTTCCCCTTCCCCATTTTCCTTTTCCTTACAGAGAGCTCATACCACCCCTCATCCTGCTTCCTTATAGTAGGCTAAAAAGACAGGGAAGATAGAGTCAAATGGAGGGTTCTGCCCAAACAGAACCAACCCCCACCCTCCCGACAGATGTCCCACTCTGGAAAGGGGATGTGCCAACCCTCACCCTTCTGACCTTTAGAATCCCCATCCACCATTACCCCACAGGCTGATTTCCTTCTACAACTCAGCTTGCCCTCACTAGGGTGTAAATAAAAAGCCAATGTTACCCACACAGAACCTGGATTCTGTATTCTGATGTCACAGGCACAGGGACAAGGCTCCCAGGGCATCCCTGAGCTAAGCCAGTGGCTGAGCTGCAGCACCTGCTAATTTTTATTTCTTAATGTTTCCTGCCATAGTGGGTTCATGATTTGATAGTTTTAATCTTTGTGAAAGCACTAGGTCCAGGAGGGATTAGTGATAATTGTGGTCCAGAACTGCTAGGATCCCTGTCCTGGTGGGGTTGGTCCTTGAGAAGAACTCACAGTGCTGGCCCTATGCACAGAGTCACCTGGTCTGCAGTTGCTGCAAGACTAATTACTGCATATAATATAAAGAGGAAATAATCCAGGATGAAGTTTATTTTTGCCAAGAAGTTTTATAATCTATACAAGTACTATGAAACCTCATTGCTATTTTACAATAAAATTTTTTTTTTTTTTTTATTGAATGGTAACTGTGTACATTGATGCACTTTGGGGGTACAGTGTGGTGTTTTCATACACAA